TGCAGCCCAGTCAGGGCGGCCCACAGTAGCCTCAACCAGGCCCACCTCCTACCCTGGCTTGCCAGTATATATGGCATACTAGCCCAGTCTGTCCCCGTTACCCTTCTGTTGCTACAACTAAGCCCGACAACCCTCACCAACTCTGGTTGTAGCTTACTCCAATGGGATTGGTCAGCCTAGCCTGGTTATCACCCAATCTGGTCCCCATGAGGTGCACAGGCGCTGTGTCCCTGCCTGGTCTAGTCTACCCCCCACCCAGCTCCCGCTCCTCAGTGTAACTTGCTGTTCAGCTAGGGAGCCTCCCCTTTTTCTCCTGTCAGCTCTGCCGCCTCCCTTCCTGGTTCTCACTTGTGTTGGTTGGGTGCTGCGGCTGCATCCGGCTCAGGCTACCTCACCTTGGCATTCCAGCCTGCGTGTTACTTTTGTTACGACCGGACCTGGTTCGACCCACATTCTGTTCTGGCGGTCAGATTTACCAGTGGATGACATGAACAGATTCAGCCTGGTCTGCCCCCGACCCAAGCCAAATGCATGCCAGTGGGACACTTTCAATGACCTCTTGGCTGTTGCCTTGCAAGTTCCTTGTGCTGACCTGCAGGGTCTGTGTCTTGCCAGAGGAGTTGCCTGGGCTCCTCCATCAGAACCCCTCCATGTGCCAGGTTTCGCGCATGTCAGTGGGTCCATGTGCCAGTTCGCCTCTTGTCCTTGTAGGAACAGTGGTCTTTCCTAACTGGCCATCATCCCGTTCTGGTTCTTGCTGTAGAGTGTTGCAGCTTGGCCATGGTCATCCATGCCCCCATATGGCTTGTACATGGCTAAGTTGAGGTTGGGACCTAGCCTAGTCCGCCCCACATCCACCCTGGTACTCCAGAGCACCAGAACGTGTTAGTGTCTGGCCCGGCCCGGTACCTCTTTTCCCAATCCACATTTGTGCCAAGGGAGAGGATAGCTGTATCCAGACCCTGCCGCAGCCCCGTCCACCTGTCATGACCTCTGCCTTAGACTCTGTGGCTCAACTTTGTGCTTAATGTGAACCAGTTGGAGCCAAATCCAAGCCGGGCATGTCCTGTGTTGCACCCTGTGTTCCAGTCATACTAGTGGGCTAAGGTTTGCTTAGTCCGAACATTCATCTCTCAGTCCCGCACTTTCATTAAGGTTTCATGTCCCGATTCCTGGGAATCACCAGAAATTAGTGTCTCACCTACACTACCGCTGGTCTTACTTTTGGGTGTCCCAGAGCACCTATTTCATATCCTCAAAACCCCAGAGCTCGCCGCTGGGCGGCCAGCAGGCAGAGCCTGGCACCACTTGGTGCACTGGCCGCCCAAGGCCTGGGTCTCTGCCCCCGCCTCTCAACCGGAAGGGTCATTCCCATGAAGCGCCACCCCCAATGGGAGTTTAACCCCGCCCCTGCCCGGACATTCGAACCGCCCAGCCTACCCTGCCGTCAGCCCAAAGCTGACGGGGGTAGAGGGGAGCCAGGTTTTGAACCCCAGCTCCCTCGCCAGCCCTCGCGGGTACTTACTCGCGAGGGGGCTTAGTTGCCCCCTGGCTAGGGGGATGCCGGCGTCCCCGCCTCCGCCGCAAGCGGCGGAAGCTGTGGCTGGGAATCCGGCATGGTTCGCGCCGGAAGGAACGGCTCCCATGGGGCGCCACCCCCAATGGGAGTTTAACCCCGCCCCTGCCCGGACATTCGAACCGCCCAGCCTACCCTGCCGTCAGCCCAAAGCTGACGGGGGTAGAGGGGAGCCAGGTTTTGAACCCCAGCTCCCTCGCCAGCCCTCGCGGGTACTTACTCGCGAGGGGGCTTAGTTGCCCCCTGGCTAGGGGGATGCCGGCGTCCCCGCCTCCGCCGCAAGCGGCGGAAGCTGTGGCTGGGAATCCGGCATGGTTCGCGCCGGAAGGCTATTTAGTCAATATATTTCTTAGTATAAGCTCTGTATTCCGCATTGGGTAAAGAACATGAAGCAATAACTTTCAGCCTGGTTCAATGTGTCCTGTATGTTTTTATCAAGAAATTTAATCCATTCTTAGAGGATTTTCTAAATCAGCATAGGTATTTGGAACTTAGGTTGGGGAAAATCAGATGTGATCAGAAATTTAGACCATAATTTGAGCCATTCCTAAGACCATCTAGAATACTCCTAAGGAAGAGTCCAGCATGGTAGCTCAGTGACTACATCCTAGCCTTATACATGCTAGGATCCCATATTGGCACCAGTGTGTGTATGGGCTGCTCCACTTCCAGTCCGGCTCCCTGTTTGTGCCCTGGGAAAGCAGTAGAAGCTAGCTCAAAGCCTTGGTTTCCTGCACCCACATGGAAGATCCAGAGGAAGTTCCTGGCTCCTGGCTTCAGATCAGCTCAGCTCCAGCCATTATGACCTCCTGGAGAGTGAGACAGCAGATAGAAGATCTTTCTGTGTCCTCTGTGTAAATCTGCCTTTCCAATAAAAATAAATCTTTAAAACAAACAAAAAAAGGAAACAGGTAAAAAAGAAGAAAGCTCCTAAACAACCAACCACCCCACCCCAGCCATCCAGCTCACCCTTAAAGGGTTCTACCCCTTGTCCAAGAAAACAGCAGGAATGCTGTGCAACCTTTAAAGTGACAACACTGAAGAACTGTAAGAGGTGAATGAAGATGTTTACCTGGAGAAGTTGTAGGTAGGACTTGATAGTCACACCCTAGTCAGTAGAGAGGAAAGTCGTGTTCAGCCATACCTGCAGTAAAAGGAGAAGGCAGGTTCAGTGAGACTGAACAGCACAATGAGTGGAAATACTTAGAGGCAAAATTCTCCACATAAGGAAAGCTGACAGCCAGAGGTGAGCTAGCTCTGAAACCCAGTCAGTGTTGAGACTGTCTCCTGCAGAGGTAAGGTCCCTAGAGCAGGGTGCCTCCAGGGCCATTCCTGAAGCACAGGAAGCATCCTTTGGACTTGGCACTTCATTTCATCTATGGAGCTCTGCTCCTGATTAAATTTACTGAAGGGGTTGCATGATTAGATGATCTGTTACCAAATGTAAGTAGAAGAGAAGGAGAGTGACATGTGTCAAAGGTTCAGAAGGGCAAGGCACTACACTAATCCTTGGAGTCACTCGGGACCACCTGTTACACGCACGTACGCTTTCTCTGGGCCAGAGACTGTAGCACACTCTACACCATTCCCACACTGCATCCTCACCAGTGTCCCACAGAATCCTTCAAGATGAGCACAATTGCTGTCCCTGTACAGTGAGGAACTAGGACTCCAGGAGGGGAATTCACTGCCCCATGTTCCTGCAGAACTCACTTCTGCATGAAGCGAAGCATCTTTCTGCCTCACAGCCTATCTCAGCTATGACTCAAATGGCAAGCCAAATTCCAGGTGTGGGGGAATTAAAGCTCACTGTGCATCGAGTACCGAGTAGAATACCTGGCACAGAGCTGCCACTCCACAAGTGGTGGTCCCCTTTTGGCTGGCAGCAGGTACTTACTGCCCTGTAAGCCAGGCCCTGTACCAGATGCTGGAGCTACAAAAATGGGGTAAACGTGATGCTAGTAACTAAGGATGGCACAGTTGAGTAACAAGCAGGAAGTAGGTTAAGTGTACCGGGGTCTAGGGGATGGGACTGCACAAAGCCCTCCCACAGGCTCTGCAGACATTGTGTCATTGAGAGGGTTGGTGAGTATAAAGAAGGTGTTAGTGGTGGGTATAGTGTGAGCAAGGGCCTAGAGGTCAGAGTACTGAGGGGAGGGGAGGAGACCAACTCGGCAAACCTTTGCAAGCCAGCTTCCCCTTCAGGCTCCTTGTGTGGCCAGCGCACCTGCAGGCTGATGCTGCCACAGCCAGTATGTACACATCTTACCATCAGAGCCCCCCGGCCCAGTGGACCCAAGTGCTGAGTGAGGCTGGGTGGGCAGGGAGGAGGAAGAGGCAGATATATAGCCAGAGTCGGCAGAGCCAGGTGATGTATGTGGCGCCTGAGGGAGCTGCGCAGTGGCACTCTGGATTCCAACCGGCAAGCGTCGCTCCACTGGGATCGGCGCCGAATTATTGCTCTATATGAAACCCAGGACTGATGGGAGCTTTCAGTTACAGACTGATAGCAACAGCCAAAATTGGATTGTTTGCTATTTATTTTTTTTAACTTCTGTCAAGGTCACTACCGTAACAGGAAAACACTGCCCAAACAGCAGGTATTTTTCATCCACTCTGCCCGCAAGAGCAATCTGCAGCTGCAACTTTCATGACAGGGCCTTACCTTGATGCCTCTCCTTCTAGAAAGATGTCAGTGTCACAGAAGCCTGGGGGAAAGGAGCCTCCCAAAGACCTGGTCCCTCCCTGCCAGCCCACAGTTGGCTTCCTTTCCCACACCCACTCCAGCTGCAGCCCTCCACAAATGCTTGGCCATCAGACTCTTGCCCTGCCCCTCCCTGCCAGTCCCCCAGGTCATCCCAGTGAGGTCTCCAGTCTTCATGCAGCTTGTTTCCCATGAAGCCCCTCTCCCACTGCTCCACTTTCAGTACCTTTCTCTCCTCTGCTCCTGTACCACTCTGCTTAGCTACTGTCTCTTAATTCAGGTTTGCTAACATTTACCAAGTGTGCCTATTGTGCCAGGACATGTACTAGGAGAAGCAAAGATCAGAAGTAGAGCCTGCCCTCAGGGAGCTCCTAATTGATGGAAAGGACAGGCTTAACATTATCAGCAAACTTGGTAGTGGTGTTTTTTCCACTGAAAGGCAGTCCTAGAGATAAGCTTTGAAACCACAGGACAGTGACTGGTTCAGCATTGGTAGTACTTGTGTGCAGGCCTCATCTCCCCTCCTGCTCCCTGGGAGCTCCCTGAGAGTCAGGCCTGGCTCTGTCTCTCTCTTACTGTGACCAAAAACTAGACCAGCCACAGTGGGCCAACAGAACCTTGAGACCCAAATCTGTGTGTCCCCTAGAGTTGCAGGATAGAAGAGAACTGGAGTCCTTTCTAGGCCGACACCCCTGAGCCATTTGTCATCTCTGCCCACAGTACCAGGAGAAGCAGCGGAAGCGTGAGGCTGAGGAGCGACGCCGCTTTCCCCTGGAGCAGCGACTGAGAGAGCATATTATTGGCCAGGAGAGTGCCATCGCCACTGTGGGTGCTGGTGAGTACACGGAGCACCGCACAGTGTAAGAGAGACGCCGTTGGTGATTGTGGAGTGGCGTGAGCTCCACCTGTGCTGGGTCAGTGACCCCTGATGGCAGCCCTAAGAGGGTGGATCTCGTTCTACAGATGAAGACCTGAGGCCACACCTATATAACTTGCTCAAGGCTGCTTAGAACCTAACTCTGAATTTTGTCTGGATGCAACTGTCTATGCTGGAAGAACTAAGGAAGTGGGGGGAGCGGGGACTATCTGTCACTGATAAGGTGGCTTCTGAATCAGAACTACAACTCATATCCCTGTCTGCCAGGCCAGGGCTCTTCCATCACTTCCATGTCTCTTGGCAGCAGCAAGCTCAGTTGAAGGAAAACTGAATCATTTGGGGGTCCTTTTCTTTTTCTCCTGGAACTTTTACTCTCACTCTGACTCCCAGGGACCAGGGTGTTCTCTGGTATAGCCCTAATCTAATGGCCCTCCTGCCTGGGCAGGCCCTCTGGACAGACAATGCAAAACTAGGGCTCTCCTGATGTCAGTGGCCGTGGCTCTGCTATTCGCCTCTGTTCATGCCTCCTTGAGGGTGATTTCCCACTGATGGGTGAGGGCAGAGGAACTCTCGGCCAGGTGGAGACAGAAGAGACTGGCTCTCTAGGCATGCTGTCTGAACCAGCAGCATCAGCATGCTCTGGGCACTGGTGGGAGGTCAGAGCTCAGATCTCCACCAGAAGCTGTGGAATCCCAAACTCTGGGAATTGTGTTATAGCAGACCTTTCTGACAGCTGTAATGCCCAGTTGAGATTTACAAAGGCCTGCTGCCCTAAGATGCCTTGCTCACTGAGACAGAGCCCTGAGCTGAAATTATAGCTACTCTCCCCTCCCACTGGAACATTCTGGGGCAACACTGTCAGCCCTGGAATGCCAGTTACTGGCAGGGTTCACTCCACACCACACCATACCCGACCTGATCTCCATCATCTATACACACTAGTGAGTCTCCCCCAGGGGTCACGAGCCCACATTGGAACTCCAACCCCAACAGCAAAAGGAGCCCACAGACCAGAGCTGCCTCCCCATCAAAAGGCCAAAAGCCTGCAGCAGGTACACACGGGAGCTGGGCAAAGGTGTTTGGAATGCACAGGGCCCCACTGCTTCAGACTGCAGCAGGCTCTTCTGTCATGTGTGGGTATGGACAGCCACCCACAGTGACACATGCTCCTTTGCCATGTGTTGTCTGAGGGAGAGGAAGAGGAAACGGGGAGCTCTCATGGGTTGAGAACAGAAGTCCTCAGAGAGACCACACCTGGTGTGAAAGTGTCTCTGGCTGGAGCCTCATGTGTTCTAAGGCCAGGGCCGTGGCTGCCAGCACAGTGCTGTACCTCACCTTCTTGCACACACTCCTGACCAGCTGTGTGCCACTCTTAGCCTCTCGCTTCTCACCAGCTCTCAAGCCCATGCAATAATGGGAAGCTCACTGGTAGTAGAGTTTGTGAGGAGAACTGGAATGGGAAGGTTGAATCCAGGGCCACAAGTCCTGCCTTGAACCTGGGACTGTTCCCAGCTCACCTTGCCCCCTGGCCCTGCACTGACCTTTGAGGCATCCTACCTCCCCGTGCCTTTGCTATTGGCCCAGTGTGGATGGTTGCCTGCCCACCTCCCAGAGCTGTTGGGTGCACTCTCGGTGTTTCCTCTGTCAAGCTGCCATTTTGCCACCTGAGCCCTACCTCAGCTCCCAGGTAGAATGGCTGTCCAAGAAGGCCCTATGCTTTGTCCCTTGGGGCCTGGATTGTAGAGTTCTTGTCTTTGTAGGGCAGTGGCCACATGCCTGCCAAGCTGAGAAGCCCTGCAGCTGGGATACACTGGTGATGTTCAGAAGCCCACACAGTCCCCATGGCTTCTGGGCCCACACATGATGCAATCTCTGGCAAAGTCTAAGGCCTCTCTGGGCCAGGATTTGTGGTGTGCAGGTAGCACCTGGGACCAGAAGATGTCAAAACTGAAGTAGACAGAGGAGAGGTGCAAGAGTCTAAAGGCCAGACCAGGCCTCCGCAGGTCCCCTAGGCCAGTGTCAGATATGTGCTAGGACCAGCTGGAAGGAGCCTGGCACCCCATGGGTGCCATGAGGATGGGCAGCCAGAGAAGTGCCGCAGAATGAATTGATTTGATAAATGGCCATTTATTACCCTCACGAATTGGCTGAAACCAATTTCGGTCACATCAACCCCTGGTAAGTGCTGGGATATTGATTTGTGCAAAGTAATACAGTGAATTTATCAGTGTGATCCCCAGCTGCAGGGCCTCTAGCAAGGCCAGCGCTCAGTTACCACCTTACAAATGGAGGAGATAAAGCTGCAGCCCCTCAGCCCACACCCATGGCCTCTTGGTCTCTTATGGTCCTCAGATCCCAAGCAGGGCCATACAGTACACCACAGACCAGAGCCTTGTTGCTGAAAGTAAGGCTCTGCTTCCAGAATTCAGCACTGGTCACAGGGAAGGCAGAATGCCTACCTGTCAACAGACCACCCTGTCCTCCCTGGAAGGCAGTTAGCTCAATGGGAACTAAGGTGGCACACACTTTCTTGGCTTCATATCGGGCTTCCCCTTGACCCCGACTACCATCCCCTATCAAGTTCTGTCATTTAAATTGTTCTTAAACCTGACCTCTCCCCTCTGCTCCCACTGCCACCACCCTGGCGCAAGACATCAGTATTTCCTACCTCATCCATAGCTGTATCCTTTTCATTGGTCTCCCTGCCACCTTTTTTCCTCTGAAATCAGTTCTTCTCACCCCCAGGAGTGATCTTTAGAAAACACAAATCTGACCCTGTCTGTCGCGTGTACCACCACTGCATGGCCCTGCTGCCTCTGTCTCCTGCACCTGCAGTACCTTTCTCCTGCCTGCACATGATGTTGCTGCCCTCTCATCGTGCAAGTCTTTCTCTTCTGGCCCCGCTCCACCCTGGCTGGCTTTTACTTGGCTTCACTCAGTCCAGGAACAATTGACAGTGGACTCCTCAGGGGCAGATACCATGACTCATTCATTTGATTTGGTTTGGTTTCTCCCAATTTCTAGCCCAGCACCCTGTTCAGATTAAATGCTTAATGCAGTTTGTAGAATTAATTGATTTGGTATGGCCCCTGATCTGTCTCCGTGATGTGGTCTGAGGAAAGGGTTGGGCTGTAGCACCTGCTCTCGAGCAGCTCACAGTGTGATGGGAATATGACTGTAGTGAAATCCATCATCACAGCTGTACTCCTTAACCTCTGACCCCTTGGGTGGGCAGCCTTTCCCCAGAGCTGTCCAGAGAAACCTCCTTTAGGCAGCAGGTCAGCTTGCATACACCTGACAGCTTCTCAGAGCTCCCTCTGACCCACAGTCTCTGTGCCAGCAGCCACTGCACCCTATCTCAGTGGGCCCTGTGAAACCCATGCACTCGCTTGGGGAAGCCCTGCCACCTCAGCTGCTCTCCAGTTCTGGGCTCATGCTAGCTCTTGTTTCACTTCCATCAGTGGCCTCTCACAAAACAATCCTCTCAAGTCTTGCACCTCTCTGTGCCCCCTCCGTGGCCAGGTGTGATCAGACATGCACTCGGGACATCCCTGAGCTGTGCAAGAGCCGTGGAGCAGCAGTGACAAGCTCGCGGCACTGCCCACATCCCCCACGCACAGCATCTCTTCTGCTAGCCCTGCCTGTAGCTGCGGTGTTGGCCTCTAGGCTGCCTTCCCTCCCTAGGACTCCTCCTGGAACAGCGCCTTTCCACGTGTTAGTGGACCCAAGTCAGTAAAGCCCAATCCCATTTTTACATTGTCACTCAGCTGTGGCAGTGCCATTGAAGCCCTGCTAAGGGAGATGCCACAGCATGAATCAACATGTTCCCAGCGGAACTTAAAAGACTGAAGCAGCCCACTCAGACAACCCCACTCCCCCACTGCCAGAACCTTGAGCTGCCCAGAGGCTGGGGGCTGGGTTAGGGGGGTGGCTATTTGTTCTCCCTGGTTTTGCACACACAGAGTGTCTCCTTGTACCTCCACCTGCCCACCAGCCTCCCCCTCATCCTCAGGTACAAATGCCAGCCTGGTACAACTAGCTGTTCCCAAACAGCACAGTATACCCATCCACTTTGGACTCACAGCTTCCACAGCAGCATGAGCCCCGTTCCAGCCTCACTATGGGCTTCTGTAGCTGACACACAGCCGTGTGATAAATAGATGTGTGAGACTCTGGAAAGAGTTCTGTCAAAAACCCCAGGGTGGTTTTTGTGCCAAGGGATACTTGAGGCCAGACCTCACTCTTGTCTGGTGTAAAGTGGAAGCTGAAGTATCTGTTCTTCCTTCCTTGAGACTCTACAAAGACCAGGCCGTCAATTGTTCAGTCAGCAGTTCTTGGACTCTTCCCTGGCCTTGTTGCAGGTAGCCCTCTGGAAATCTAACCAGTTAGATGCTGCCCTCAGTGTGTGAGCCTGGACAAGTGAAGCCCCCTTCAGTGCCCCTTGAGCCTCAGTCTTCCAATGTGACATGGAGAGGGAGCCCCCTTCTCAGGCTTATCGTAAGGATCCATGACATACCCAAGCCAGTGGCTGCTGCCGCCCTGGCTGCCATTAGTTGGAGTTGTATCATTCCACACCATTTAATTTTCCCATTTTATAGATGAAGAAACTGAGACACCAAAGGAATGAGTGTTTTGCTTTGTCATTCAACTAGTAAATGACAGAGGTAGGATTCCAAGTTAGTTCCTATAACTCCTCCCCTCAGTTGTACCACCCACTCCATGAACACACACCATGGAATTAATGGAGTGGGTGTAGCATGGTGAAGTTCATGGAAAAGTTATATGGTCCAGTCATGACAGACAGCAGAGGACACTGGTAAGGGATGGAGCACAGGGAAGGCAGGTCTCCCCCAGCTTGTGAGGAAGCCAAGGAGCCTGGCCAGTGCTTGTAGACAAGGGAGCTGTGCACAGAACCCTGATACTGTGTCAAGGGCCAAGGCTCCTGAGGCCGTGTGTTGAGTGGCTAAGCCATACTGGAAGACTACAGAGGAAGTCAGTGTGCAAGGTGTGGTGGCCACAGAGAGCCTGTGGGAAGAGCTGACTCCCTGAGCTCCTGAAGTACCTACTCAGACCCAGGAGTCTGCCAGAGCTGGGCTCAGGGCCCGGCAGCTTCATGGATTTCCCCACATCACCCTAGCTTCTTTATACATATTTCTTCCTCTGTGCAATGGGGATCCAGTTCCCCATCCTACTTACCCCATATGATCATGGCAAGGCTGAGGTGAAATTACTTCTGCAGAAGTTCCTTAGACTGTGAGGTGCTAGTAGAGTAAATTGTGCTTTTGCTGGTCCACAGTGGGCACTGGCGTTTTGGCACATCCCACACAGGCTTATCCAGGTCTCTGGGCAAGCATCCCTGGGCAGGGTCCTCCAGGCGCCCAGCCTCGGTCTGCAGCCACACACATGGGGGCCTGCCTTCCCCAGCCCTCCGGTCTTTCCTTGCTGCTTCCATTTTTCATTCTGTCGGACTCCATCTGCTTGGCCGTTTTTCTCTTCAGATATTATTAGAAATATCCAGAGTTGTAATTGTTTAATGGTTGGCATTTCTCCTGTTTCTTGGGGGGTCCAGATCAAGCCCACCCCAGACTTGTACCCTGGGTCTGGCAGAATTGACCAGGGACAGCTGTGCAGTGGAGTCTGCCTGGCATTATAAAGAGCTGTCTCCCAGGTGCATTATTAGAAAAGAAGGGGGAGAGAGGCCCCGGGCAGAATGCAGTTCCACATTCGCCGTGGTGGTTTTCTAGCGCACAGTCCAGTGTTTGCAGCTCTTGGTGGGCTAAGAGGCTACCCTCAAAGGAAGGCCAGAGCAGGACTGTCACACCTCTTATGCCATGGGAAACCCCATCTTTACCGGGCCCCTTCTGAGCACTGTGCGGGTACTTCTCTCTCCTCTGGTTCTCTGAGGAGCCCAACTCTGGCCATGCTCAGCATCCAAGTCCCAACCCAGATGCCCACTTGAGGCCATTTTGGGGAGGGTATGGCTCCTTTCAGGTGACCCCTCTCTCACCTAGCACATAAACACACTTGTCTACACCTAGAATTCATGAAAGTCCAGCCTTTGCTGTTTCAATTCCTCAGTTGCCCAAATGCCCACCCTTACTCTCAGCTCCCTAGTTCTGTTCATGGGCATCAGGAACTTCCTTCAGCCAGACTTGTACTTCCGCCTCTGCATGCATGAGTCTTGTGGGCTTACCTCACAGTGAACCCTGCTACAGAACCCGGCCAGTTAGTTTGGGGAAGATACAGGCTATGGTCACGGGAGAGCGACTCTTCAACATCCCCAGCGAGTACCTCCTGGGAGGCACAAATGGCTCACCCAGCACTCATGGAGTTGCAGGGTTTCCATCTTGAGGCCAGAACGATAGAGGAAGTGGCACATTGGAAGTGAACAGGACCACAAGCACAGGGCTGAACTCCTAAGACCAGTAACGCAGAGCTTCATACAGGGATCCTGCCGCCCACACCACTTGTGCTCTTTCCTGAACCCACCTGCCATGCCGGCCACCTGACCTCGCCGAGTCCTCCCTGACCTCCACAGCTGCCTCTTTGAAACCCAGTCCCACAACTTAGCATTTACAAACCAGCATATACATCTCTAAGGCTGCATCTCTCCCCCTTGACAAGGCTTCCAGGCTCATCCACTAATACAGATCCTTGTGCTGATCTCTCCCAGCCCTCTCTGACCAGACCAGACATGCCATTTTGTCAGCTGACCCTGACATATGCCACGCTCTGTCCCTCTCCTGCTGCTGAATGCTGTGTTTCCATTAGTACAACCCAAATTGATACTTTTCTTAGCAGCCATGTGTGATATGTAAAAATTGACTTATTTTTATTTGAAAGGCAGCATTTACAGAAAAGGAGAGACAGGGATAAAGAGCTCTTCCATCTACTGGTTCACTCCCCAGATGGTCGGAGCTGGACCAGTCCAAAGCCAGAGTGCAGGAGCCCAAGAACTTGAGCCATCGTTCACTGCTTTTTCAAGCACATTAGCAGGGAGCTTGATTGGAAATGGAGCATCCAAGACTCCAACCAGTGTCCATATGGGATGCCAGTTCCACAAGTGGAGGCTTCAACTACTATGCCACAGCACCAACCCTGTCACACGTGATTACCAGACGGTCCTGTCCTCTCTCCACCAGCTCTATGATTTGGATGAGCCTCTATCTGTTGCCTCACTTTATTGCTCATATAATGGAGTTGTGAATACTTTCCTCAAAGTGTTTGTGTGAGTCTTGAGCAAACACACTGCCCCATGTCTGCATAGTATACAGTGTGTTCAAAATTACTCTTCTTTCTCCTACACTCTGCCCCCACTCTTGCACTTGGGCCATGGCTCTGGGCTTTATTCTCTTACTCCAGAGATGAACATTCAGTTCCCACCTTGGGTACTTAGCACCTCATTCTCTTGAAGAGAAGTCAGGTCTTACCCTAGAAGAGTTGAGCCCCTCAGAACCTGGTATGCGTCTTGGCTCCCCACTCACCCGCTCCTTCTGGAGGTCACGATCAGCAGATACACTTAACCAAGTGGCTTACCCCGTCCATGCCCTCAGCTCCATGCTACCCTTAATTGGCTTCCAGAAAATGTATCTGCCTGTGCTTCCTCTTCCGGATCCAGACAGCACACAGACCTTGGTTTCCCCCAGATGGGAAAAAGTCCAGCACTCACACCCTGGATCCTCCTGGGGACCCGCCATGGGTCTCTGCCTCTGAGCCACAGAAAAGGCAGGCCCGCACTGCCCCCAGTGAGGGGTACAGGGGTAACCAGAGAGCTCCGGTTCCTCCCGATTTCTCCTTCACCAGTCCCCTACCCCCTTTCCCTCCCTTCCCCATCCACCCGCCTTTCAGTTTCCCTGGCAACGCTGAGTGCTCATCCTGGAAAACTTTATCCGAAATCTGCTCTGGGCAGCCTTCCAAATCCATGCTAACCTGATTAGGTGTCTCTAGGGGCCTTGCCAGCTAATCAGATTAGGCAGCACTAATGGTAGTGAGGACTTTGAGTGGGCGCAGAGCAGTAAAACATATTGTATACTTAGTGATAATTATCCTGCCTTTTGTGTCATTGATTTATCTGCCTCCCGCCCTGTCCCCCCATCTTGTGTGTTTGGCCATAGCGATCCGGAGGAAGGAGAATGGCTGGTATGACGAAGAACACCCTCTGGTCTTCCTCTTCTTGGGATCGTCTGGAATAGGTAATTGGGAGCAGATCAGCCCCTGGGGAGGGCAGGCTGCAAGGATGCCTGGGCTAGGCTCCATAGCCTCAGCCACTGTGGCCCAGGGTCATGCCACTCGCTTGGAGTTCAACCAGAAGCAGCTGCCTCCAAATTGCAGGGCCACCAGTAAGAAAGAGATCTCTGTGCTTTATCATCTGTGGTGTAAGGAGCAGAGTCCAGGCTCGCTCTCTGGGGGATGTGGGACAAGGACTGATTCCACGTGGAAGACCAGCCCCCAATGGCCCCGTTAGCCCTGGTCCAACCACTTTGATACCCCTTAATTTGTCCCCCTAAGGCTCCCTAATCCCTTCTACAGAAAAATCAGATGCAATACAGACTTTCTGGCCCCAGTGTTGCCATTCATTCCCTTAGTGGCTTTGGGAGAGTTGCCCTTTCCAGTCCTCCATATTGCCATTCATGAAGTGGATTCTCGCCGGCATGCTGCCTTTCTAGTGTTCTTTCATTCTAATAGAACATCATCTGGGCCTAACCCAATTCCTCTCCCTTCTTTCTTAATAGGAAAAACAGAGCTTGCCAAACAGACAGCAAAATATATGCACAAAGATGCCAAAAAGGTAAGGGCTGGGATCTAGGCCTAATCTCCAAAGACTTCACTGCTCCTACTGTCCCCCAAAAATCTGACACTAACACTTGCAGCCAAGATGGGCCATGACATGGGGAGCGTGTCATTCTGATCCCCGAGTTGTACCAGGAATTCCGCTTCTATATTTTAGTTTCTTCATCTATAAAATGGGAGTGATAATCTTTCCCCTGCCCTACGTCTTGGGAAAGCCAAATGAAATTCCTACACACATTTGCAAGTGTCTGCTCTGTGCTAGATGGTGTGCTGGAAGCTGCGAAGACAGCATTTATTAAGCTACTGTCCCAGCCCCGAGGAGCCCAGGCTGGAGAGGAAAGCCGCTTCAGAAACACAGGGCTGCCACGCTGTGCCTGACAGAGGCTTAGGGCTGAGGGGGAAAGTGGGTAGGAATAAGAAGATGCCTTATTTACCACTCTGCATCCCGCAGGACTTGTACACAGGTGTACTTGGGTGCTGCTAGTCCTCTCCCCCCTGAGTGCTCCATCAGAAAGGATCACACCACCCCCTGTGTGTTCTCACTCAGGCTTTCCAAGGCCCAGTTGGTTCTCACTGTGCTGATGGGAAATGCTTTCATATGGAGAGCGCCCTCCTCAGAGAATGCAGAAGCATTTCAGTGAAGGTCACTGCATTCTCCCACCAGCTTTCCATTTGGGGGCAAAGCCCTCAGCTGCTCCTACCTGGCTTCTATGGGAAGCTTGCCCAGCCAAGGCCCTAAGGAGTTGCTTTGGCCTCTGCCAGCCAAGTGACCCGAGCAGCAGAGTCCTGGGCTCCTGCTTCTCACCTAGCTTCCCCTGACCCTCTTTCTGTCTAAGAACTAAAAGCTCGTAGCATATCCTCCCTGGCTCTGCCTCAGCCAAACCCAGAGCAGAGCCACCGGACAGGCGGGCGGCGCGTGGCATGCTAATAGGCTCCTGCAGAAAGAGCGCTTGTAAGACCATTCATCAGGTTGGCAGCGATTGAAACAATTAGCACTCTGGAAAGGGCCATAAACTAGCAAGACTATTAGGGAAGATGCAGTTACGGGCAGGAACCACCTGATTAGGGATGAAGAATTCTGAGTGGTTTAATTTTAATACTGTCAGAAAGGTTAATATTTAATTACAAATTATAATCTCTTTATCCAGGCTGTCTTAATATGTCTTCATACAGTGGAAGGGAGCGTATCTGCTGACTTGCCGGTGCAGAAGGGAGAGAGGAGGGGCTTGTTAAAGGGCTGACAATGGAAGTGATTTTTCAATTAACATCTTAGTGGGAGACAGGTTCACCCCCAGGCAGGGAGTCCTGCAGTAGGGGCCTGCCTCCGCTTGGAGGTACTGGGTGTATTGGACAAGGCTTCTAGAGCCAGCCACGCCTTGGCTTACGTTGCAGTTCTTCCAGCTGGCCCTAGACAGGTGACTTGACCTCCCAAAAGTTCCCGCTCTTGCCTCACAAGTCCTTCAGTTAGGGCTAAGGTTGAAAATCAGGCGAGATACTGTGCTTTGCAGCCAGCTCAGGAGCTAGTGCACAGTGATGCCTGCTTCCTTGGATTGTATTTGATCATTGCTTTGCACAATTATATCCCATGAGGAATATGCCATAGATTCTAAATTAGACCCACTTTCCAGATGAGAAAGATTACGTCTTATGTATTAGGAGTCTTGTCTAACGTCACTTGCTTGGGAAAGAAGTCAAGCCAAAAACTGGTTTCCTACTTTTTTTCTCAGTACCACTGTTCTCAGCTGCTATAGGTGGCTTGTCGCACAGGAGCAAAAGAGGCCTGAGAAGCCCAATAAAATCATCCATGCACTTTTATTGTTCGAGAGGTAAGGAGACAGGAACAAGCCCATATCCACTGGGTGACTCCTCCTATGCCTGTGCTGGGAGCTGAGAACACACTCTAGGTCCTCCATAGATCACAAGGACCCAACCACTAGAGCCAGCACCTGCTGCCTCCTGGGCGTGCATTAACAAGAACTTGAAGGCCGAACTAGCTGAAACTTGAGCCCAATATGGGAGGTAGGCATCCCGATGCGAAGGCCTAACTGCTGGGCCAAACACTTCTCATTCTACCTCACTTTTCAATTAGGTTGGAAAAAAGGTTGCTGCTTCTGTACAATTCCTGCTGCTCCAGCCCTGTGGGCCAACTCAGAATCTACCCAGAGCAGAGGCATTTTCTGGCTATACTTGAGACTCGCCTTTAAGACCCAAGTGAGTCAGCTGCTGAACTCTGCATGCCCGATGCCTCCGTAAGTCAGGAGTGGTATGTGGCCAATGTCATGTACAGGGCCCCGACTAAGAGGCTGCTGGCAGAGGGGAGCTCCCTTTCCTTGCTTCCCAAGATGGCTGATGAAACAACGCAGGCACTGGTCTGCGAGTCCAGTGACGAATTCCAGCCCTAGTTCTCTGGCCCCATCTTCCCTCATTTGTAAGTGTTTGCACATGTGTGTTTCTTTCACAGATCTTACTGCCAGCTTAGCTTTTTTGCATTAAGCCTCTTTGCTTATATCTATATTAACTCTCACCTGAGTAGCTTTGTTGGCTTTCTTTCTATGAGTTACTGATCCTTATGAAAGAAGCTTGATGATACTAGGTAGGATGGTGGATTACAAAGGACTTGCAGTTAGAAGAGCAGTTTTAATGGATTAAGAGCAAGTATCTCTTAGTCTGGCTACCTAGGTGCACAGTGGCTAGACCATCTGTAAAATGGGTTCAGTAACACTGGATTAAGATTAAGTGAGATAATGCCCTTAGGAAAAAATGTGAGGGAAAGGTGAGTGGTGGATGGGCAGACAGACAGATGTAGTAATAAGCAGTGGAGTCTAACCCCCCTGTTACATAGGGCGTTGATGGACATGTGACACAAAGTTGAGCAGCCCCTCAAGTGCAGACTGCTAGAAGAAAATCATTGAGGCAGTAGACGGGGCAGAGCGTGCTGAGTTGGAGCCAGCTTTCCAGCAGGGTGAACTTGACCAAGCTTCTGTAACCTATGAAGTGGGAATGATGATAGGGCAGAACCTGGATCTTCTCTGCTAGGCACCTAGTAACCCCCCCAGGGAGTGTCAGCTACTGAAGGCTCTGGGCACACTCCCAGCTGCATCAACTTGGCTGCACTGCCCAGGGACTCATGGATGTGCTTGCTGGTTCCTGCCCCCTGGGGGCAACGCCTGACCCCCCCCACAAGGCCTTGCCAGCTTCTCTAAGCCCTTTCCCTCTCCTGGCTTAAGTCTCCTCAGGCCCCTCTTGAGGCAGGAAAAGCAGCCAAGAGCCTTGTGTTACAGAGAAACAAACTGTAGCTCCAAAAGGGGAGGCAGTGTGACCAAGGCCGCAGTGGAAGGACTGGGATTGGAAGCCACGTCCTGGCTCCCAGCCCAGGATTCTTCCCACCACTCTATAGCTAAGGCACGGAACAATGGAACGGCATGATACAGAACTGAACGTACCTTGCCCAGCACATTCCTGACCAGTGGCCAAGCTAGAATGTGGCCCTGTGCTCCCACCTAGCCAGCTACCTGGGGAGCATCTTGGTACCCCATCCTGCCCAGCTCTCCAGAGAAGCCGTACCAGTGCAGAGCGGGCAGTACACTCAGGATGATGTCATCACTCCTTCCTCAGCTCTTTGGTTGTCAAAGGGAGGGGGCACCAGCCACGAGGTATTTTCTTTCTCACACTAATCATGACCTTCCGACGGGGGGGGGGGGGCTGCTTCCTGGAACACCCCCTAGAAGCCCCAAAGGCGGTGAGAGAAAGGCTGCAAGGCACTTCATGCCCATCTTTGAATAGAAGGAAGAAATGCAAATAAAAAGTAGTAAGCTAAAACAGAGAGGCAAACCCTCCACCCCAAGACTTGCATGGTGGAAGGGGCATTGCCTAGCCACCTGGGTAGGTCCTCACTATTGGTGACTTTGCCTGGCCCGCTCGATGGGGTTCTCCTAGAAGACAGAGACCCAGACAAGTTTGTTGGCACTCGTGTGCCCATAACAGAGGATGCCCCCAAGAACAGTGGGTGAGTGGATGGGCATACACATGACTGCAAGAGTCAGAGGCCTGACTGAAGAGCGATCTTGACTTAGATTGAGGGTGGAGACGTGATGTGGCTTTATACAAATCACAGAATGAGGCCATCATGTTGGGAGGGGAAATTGGAAAGGAAGCAAGGAGCCAAAACCAAAATGTGTGAGAGAAGAGCCAGGGCTTTGTGGCCAGAGAGCCTGAGGAGGTTGATGTGCGCGACTCCTTCTCCCACCCACCTACCTGGGCACTCAGTTTCTGCTTGTGTCTACACAGGGCTTCATCCGACTGGACATGTCTGAGTTCCAGGAGCGGCACGAGGTGAGGGCACGGGTTGTCAGCACTGCAGGCAGCTTATGGGGCTGCTGCTGTGGACTACATCCAACAGCCCAGGGCTTTCCTTGGGGGGGGGGGGGGGCCTTGTGTGTGCAGCAGGGTCACAGATCAGATCAGTTTTGCATAGGCTCTGCTCTGAAAAATAAACATGGAGAAGGTCTGTCTGTCCTCTCCTGGGAGCAGGCATGCTGCCTGCCCCCCGACTCCCGACTCCCAGGAAGAGAGGCAGCTGTCTGTCCTGGCCAAGACAGGCCCTGTCTGTGGTGTCTTCTCATGCATGCTGCTGTCCTGAAAGCCAGCAGCACAAGAAGTTCTTGCCAGCACATTTCCTATCTCCCACAGGTGGCCAAGTTCATTGGGTCCCCGCCAGGCTACATTGGCCACGAGGAAGGTGGCCAGCTGACTAAGAAGCTGAAACAGTGTCCCAATGCGGTGGTGCTCTTTGACGAGGTGGACAAGGCCCACCCAGACGTGCTCACCATCATGCTGCAGCTGTTCGATGAGGTAAAAGTCAGCTGGGGCTGGGCTGGAGCCTGGGGGACCCCTGAAGCTCTCAGAGCTGTGACTAGCAGGAGCCACAGGCTGCCTGCTCCTTCCCTAGCTGGGCACTGCCCCCTGTGTGCACACTGGATAACAAGTAGAGCTGGGTCTCCTGGGGAATAGCATCACCCTGGAGTTGAAATCTCATAGCTGTGCAGGCTCTGTCCAGAGTGGGTACTGGGAGGAGAGGCCCGGATTGTACTTCAGCTCTGTGGGCCAGGTCTCGGGGTCTCACCAGAACGCTGGGGCAGAAAGGCTCCAGGAAGCTTACCAGCACCGCCTTGTAGGATGCACATGACTGAACTGCTGGCAGCTTTGTCCTAGCCCCTCAGCCCGGGGTGTCCCAAGTGCCTTCTCAGTGCTAGACCTGCACCGAAGGCCACAGCTGTTGTCGCCAGGCATGCTATTTCTGCACTTTTTGAGGTTTAAAAAAAAAAAAAAGGTTTAGAGCAGTTATAAATGTGATTCCAGATTGGACAACAGGCAGATCAGAGCCCCGGGACCCACACCCAGCACTTCTAGCTTTAAGCCAGCGGAAGCCTTGTGGTCACAGGGAAGGCTGGCCATCACCATTTGCAGGGGCAGGCCAGGGTCGGGGGGACAGCAAAAGACATGGCAGTCATTGGCACTTCCTGCACTGTGTGTTCAGAAATCGACTTGCATCCACTGACTGAAGGCCAGCAGTATTTCTGCCTTCATTGAACGGCACTAGAAATAGAAGTACATGAAGGTGTTCATCTGGGGCCACATGGCTGGGAAGGGGGCAGTTAGACCCTAGCAGTCCAGTTCCACGGCCTGCAGCTTCACCTACTGCGCAGCTAGGACCATAGGAGAACCCAGGCTGAGGGGCAGCTGCCCACCCACCTGTACTTTGTAATACCCTTGCAGTTCCACTGATGAGCCGCTGTCTAAGCTTAGGCAGGTTTAGCCTGGGTGATCACAAGGAGCAGCAAGAGGTCAGTGTGCCCTTGAGGTAGGCAAGGAACAGGGCCACTTCCAGTGCTCACAAAGAAGCCTGCAGTTCTCTGGTGAGTATTGGGAACTTCTGAATGAGTTTAAGCAAGAAACAGGGTCAGATTTTCCCTTTACAAAAATCCTGTAGGTGGCAATGCAGAGAAGGGTCTAGAAGGGAGAAGGGGGCAACTGCAGAGATCAGGCTGGAGCTGGGATAGCCTGGTGTGGAAAGCAAGGGCAGAGAGAACCATAGAGGCTGGCTGTGAGACAAGGGGGAGCAGAGCAGAGAGCAGCAGGCTGGCAAGGAGGCACAAATTGTGGGGTATAAGATGTCTGCGGAGCAGCCAGAAAATTACCCTAGAGGCCGCCCCTCACTGTTAGCAGGGCTGGAGCTCAGGCAAGGCCTGACAGGCGCAGCACCGAGGGGAGCGAAGCCACAAGGAGGACAGCTGTGCGGAGCAGGAAACTGTGTTCCCACAGACTCAGGGAATCACTGGAGTGGCAGGAAGCAGAGGGTGTGTCCCTGAGGTACACAGGCAGGACACGGTCACTTAGGGCGTGCCAAGTTAGGAGATAGGGAGCAAGCAGGAGAACAGTGAGGGCTCCCGCCACAAGCCTGGGCCAGAAAAACAAGCCCCCCTTAGTCACAGCCAAACACCAAGCAGAAAGACTGCCTTCCACATCCGTGTGACCCCAGAGTCATCCATGATGCAGTAGGTAAGCAGCCCTGGCACCCTGGCATGTGCAGTTGAACCCCACCCAGGAAGTGCAGAGTATGGTTGTGGTGGGAGGTGAGGCAGGGCCAGCTCCCTCTCTGGTCACATCGTAACTGCCGAGGAAGCTGAGAAGTCACCCTTTGGGTCAGTTGTGCTCTCATCTGCTCCCCTCGCTCACCTGGGTCCCATCCGCAGGCTCCATTATGAGCAGAGCTTTGATCTCTTGGAATGAAATTGCCACTGGGTTATTGCTGCAGCCAGTACAAAGTGTGTGAACTCAGTCCTCAGGGAGGAGCTCAGGGGGCGAGTGGAGAACGCAGTGTCTGAGGCACATGCTTAGGCTTGTCCCACAGGCACACAGACCCGATCCCCAAAACTGGAATTATCCTCAGTGGACTCTTGGATCAGACCCTGTTCACATGGGTGGAAGTGCAAAGCTGCTGGCAGGGAGCTCAAGTCCATCCACTTGCACCTTTGCCTCCCCTCTCCTACCCCAAGGCCGGGGCAGCAGTGACTGGCTCTAGGAAATCGACCCCTTTTGAACTAATTTCTCAAAAGCCTGCCCAGGCATGGAGCCACTGAACGGTCCATCCCTGCTGCTTGCCAGGGCCGGCTGACAGACGGGAAGGGAAAGACCATCGACTGCAAGGATGCCATCTTCATCATGACCTCCAATGTGGCCAGTGACGAGATCGCACAGCACGCGCTGCAGCTGAGGCAGGAAGCCTTGGAGATGAGCCGCACCCGCCTCGCTGAGAATCTCGGTAAGGTGGAGCCAGAGCTGTCCAAGCAAGTGACCAGGCCACCAGCACCTCTCCTGGGGTGAGGCAGCTTTGTCCCTAGCCAGCACAGAGCAGGCACCAGGCCCCCTGCCAGGGTGTGGAAGGGACAAAGCAGAGACAGTGTCCCAACTACTCAGAGTGTCAGGGCGGCTGCATAGGGTGAGGGACAGGAGACAGCCAGAGTCTTAGGGAACAAGAAAAGTGCACTTGGCCTGGCACGATAGCCGATTGACCAAATCCTTGCCTTGCACACACCAAGATTGCATATAGGTGCCAGTTTGTGTCCTGGCAAGGCAGCAGAGAACAACACAAAGCCTTAGGACCCTGCACCCACATCAGAGACATAGAAGTAGTTCCTGGTTCCTGGCTTCGGACCAGCTCAGCTCCAGCCATTGTGGCCACTTGGGGAGTGAACCAGCAGACAGAAGACCTTTCTCTCCGTCTTTTACTTGAAAGTAAAAATAATTTTTTTTTTAAAAAAAAGCACACTTAAAGGGCAGACACTTTGGCTCAATGAAAGCACCTTCTCACCCAGTTGCCCAGGGCGGCTTCCCACACCACTGGCCCCAGAGAGGGCCTCACAGGAGGGGCCCCTCAGAGAATAATAGCTGGTTAGGGCTGAGGAGCAGGCCCAGCTCCCTAAGCCTGCAGTGACAGCTGTGACGGTGTCCACAGGGGACGTGCAGACCAGTGACAAGATCACCATCTCAAAGAACTTCAAGGAGAATGTGATCCGCCCCATCCTAAAAGTAAGAGCTCCCCCGCCCCCACACTGCCTGCTGGAGGCCAGGCTTGGGAGAGGAGCCATGACACCCCCACTCACCTGGCCTGCAGGCTCACTTCCGGAGGGATGAATTTCTGGGACGCATCAATGAGATTGTCTACTTCCTCCCCTTCTGCCACTCGGAGCTCATCCAGCTCGTCAACAAGGAACTCAACTTCTGGGCCAAGAGAGTAAGAAGGGACTTCCCACGGATGGGGATTGGACACAACCACTGCAATGCAGGCGTGGGAACCCCCACTCCATAGGTGGAGCCAGTGCAGCCAGTAACCCAAGGGGCCCATGCACCCACAAGCCTCTCTCACCCCACTGCAGGCCAAGCAGAGGCACAACATCACACTGCTGTGGGACCGCGAGGTGGCTGACGTGCTGGTCGACGGCTACAACGTGCACTACGGTGCCCGCTCCATCAAGCACGAGGTGAGCACCAGAGCCTCCCCCTGGGGTGGTGGGTGGCCCTGCCAGGGCAATCACAGGCACGACTCAGTATTCTCATCCTGTAGCAGACCGACTTCTAGGCAGATCATTTGGTATGGCCCACAGAGGGTATTACATATGTCCAAATGGCCCTGGGCAGAAGGGTTCTTGGTCCCTGCACTTGGGTTGGCTGCAGGACTCCACAGCCGCGGAGGCACTCCTGAATCAAGTAAAACCCCTGCTTGGAAGGGACGCAGTGAAGCCTACTGCAAGTAGGGAACAGGACCAGGAGTCCCCGAGCCTGGGGCCTGGTCCTGCAGGCAGGTCCTGTTACCCGACCCTGCAGATGTGAGATCTCTGGCTCGAGTGGTGAGTGCTAAAGCCAGCCTCCAGGCTTAGGCCAAGGAGAGATGGGCATTCTGCATCCCAATGCCCGCAGGTCGAGCGCCGAGTGGTGAACCAGCTGGCGGCTGCCTATGAGCAGGACCTGCTGCCGGGTGGCTGCACACTGCGCATCACCGTGGAGGACTCCGACAAGCAGCTGCTCAAGAGCCCCGAGCTGCCCTCAGCCCAGGCCGAGAAGCGGCTGCCCAAGCTGCGGCTGGAGATCATTGACAAGGACAGCAAAACCCACAGGCTAGACATCCGGGCCCCCCTTCACCCTGAGAAAGTGTGTCACAACCTCTAACACCACCCACCACCTGTCATGCCCTCCACTTCCAATAAAGGCCCCGTGCTATGGCACGACCCACCTGCCCTTCGTGCCTTCCCTCCTGTCCAGCCCCTGGAAGAGCCCTCTACCCCAAACAAAAATGTCACCCACTCCTCCCCATGGGCCGCAGGCTGTGAGCACAGCTTCCAGAGAGGGGCCACCTCATCACCTCTCTTCCACCCTCTGGTCATGGACACTCCATCCTGTGCCCGGGAAGTTCAGGAGGATGGCAGCGAAGCATTAGATGTGGTGGCAGCCCAGGGACCAGGCTGTGGCCAGCCACACTCTGCAGGCCTCATTTGGGTCTGGCCCACAGTGGCTCCGGCAGGGAGTACCGAAGCTCCAGCCTAGGTACAACTTAGGCTGCGGCTACCGCCTTCCCATGCCCCCCTCCCACTGCTCACATTTGTACCCTGGGCACAACTTGGCTCATGTTGCCCCAGCCTACATGGTGGTGCCCCAGGAGGACTTGCTCCCTGCTCTGGGATGGGACAGTGCTCCTGAGGGGCCTTCTCTAGGACACAGACATCAGAGCCCTGGGGAGCTGTGGAGGAAGCGATCCAAGAGGCTGGGCTCTGCTTAAAGGACCAGGGAACCTGACCCACCCTGTGTGCAAGGCTGTCCCAGCTGAGCGGGGTTGGAGTAAACAGTATGTTCAGTCTGCACATTAGTCACCAAGCTGCAAGTTTGGACACAGTCCCCCCCCCCCAAATGTGTCCCCCGGAGCTTAGCAAGGCACAGCAAAGCCTGGTGCCCAGGGGCAGCCCCTGCTGTGGCCACCCCTGGGGACCATGTTGGCTGCCCTCCTGTGGCTCACCTCTTCCAGGAAGCAAAGCCTGGGGGCAGGGATCCAAGACCCTTGGGCGACAGCAGGATGTCTCAGCAGCTCAGTCGGAGGCGGGCAGGGACCAGACACCCTCAGGCTGGCTGCCGCTCCCGGTCACTGTAGCTCTCTGGTGGTTGCTGTTGTTTTGAAATAATTTTACACTCAGAAAATTGCAAAACAAAGTTTCCACATTAATAATATCTTTAAAAACTAATTGTCAGAAGCTGGAAGTTAACATTGGGACAAGACCACTAACCAACCTGCAGATATTTCATATTTTCTGGGGACCCGGTCCAAGATCCTGCTTTGCACTGTGGGCGTGTTCCCGACCTCCCCACCAGTGTCTCAGGATTTCACCAGTCAGTGAGGGTCTGCATGGTGGCAGGTGGAACAGTGGGTGACGTGACGCTGGGCTCTGCTCACATCACCTATGTCTCAGGGCCTCCCGCAGGGTTCAGACAACACCATCCAATTTGCTCACTATAAAACATCCATTTCCTTTGAAATAAAAAATGTCACAGCAAGAGGCTTCAGAGCTGTGTCAGTGTCTTCCTTGTCCTCGGGATTTTGCTTCCCGGTTTCAGCATTCATCAACAGTGGTTCTCAGTGTTGATGTTCAGTTCGCCTGTGGGCGACTTTGCCTCCCTACTTCCCATCTGTCTGCTGATGCTCTTACAAGGAGGAGCTGTCCCTTTTCCTCTGCGGATTTTTGTCAGTAGCTTATATCAGTATGAATGATACATTAATAAAGTACTAGCATCACAACCTTTGTGGCTCAGGTTGGCCCAGATTTGGCCACAGGGAACCCCTGCCTACGTCGGGACCTACTAACCCTGTTGCTGTTCCCACCCCCACAGCAGCTCTTTCTCCAAGGAGCTGCCAGTTCAGGGCGAAATGGAAATGGGACTTGAAACAAGCGCTTGCTTGGTTCTGGGAAACCAAGTTCTGGGGGCTCACTGCCACAGGAGGGCTGTCGCTACCATCTTCAGCAACAGACCCAGGAAGCAGCTGTCCGCATTAGACTAGGCCTGCACATTGCCATGATGCTCACGTCTGTCCTGGATGAACGACTTAGTTAAGGCCGTGGATTGGTATCAGTACCTACATCTGATCCATTGCCCCCTGGGATTCATGACTGACCGTCTCAGGAGCTGGCTGTGATTGTTTGGCTTTTCCCTCTCCTGTATCCTTTTCACCTCCTTTCTGTTTGATACTAGGTTTCCCTGAAAGCTCTGAGTTAATAACCATCCAGTATTCAGCACTCCTACTGGAGAAAGCTTTCCTTTAAGAGTCCATCCATCCAATGGTTAATTCGCCCAGATGCCCACAAAGGCCAGGAGGCTGAGGCTGTGAGCAAGACACTCGATGTGTGTGTCTCCCACATAGGTAGCAGCGACCCAGCCAGTTAAGCCATCATTGCCACCTCTGAGGGTCTGCATTAACAAGAAGCTGGAGTCAGAAGCGAGAGCTAGACATGACCTAGATATTCTGATGTAAGATGGGGCCATTTAGCAAGCGTCTTACGCACTGTGCCACAATGAGTAAAACCACTGTCTACAGTGCTATCATCCCATATGGGTACAAGTTCAAGTCTCAGCTACTCCACTTGCAATCCAGAAAACCCCAAAGCACACTTTCAAGAGGAGGGTATGGGACAAGGCAATCTCAGACCCTGAGGAACTAAATCACTTCCTCCAGAGACCCTCCAGGTGACAAGGGCCTGTATGTTAACACTTCAACAAAAGCTGAAGCAGTGCTCAGCTCCACGGCACGTCCTCTGTCCGTCACTGGAATAGACACTCCAAGAGGACAAATGCGCAGCTGCTTGGCACACTGTCCATTTATAGAGCCCAGCACGGGCCCACCCTCTGATGGAAGCCCCAGGAATGTCAGGATGGGAGCCTTGCAAGTTTGCTGAGCACATAGGTTCATCATGTGCTTCTACTCACCTGTGGGCCTGGCACGACCGGCACTCCAGTACTGAACAGACTCCAGGCCTCACCAGGACCCTGGAGAACGTGAGGCTCGACTTGGGGTGGAGATGCATGTGGAGTATAAGCCATGTGTGGGGCTGTTTTCTGTACCAAAATAAACATTTTTTGATTCCTTTTTTTTTTAACCACACTCTGAGATATCTTTGTATTGCTGAAGTAAACCCCATGTGCCTACAAGTGTGCAGTTCAGTTTGAACTGATGATAAATCTGCATCTGTGGTTGTAGGCAAGACTAGGGTTGAGCACACACTGGCTTTGTTGTCTAAAGGTACTTATTTTGAAAGGCAGAGTTGGAAGGAGCAGGAAAGAAGGACACACAGCTATTCATCCACTGGTTCCCTCCCCGGATGGAGGTAATGGCCAGGGCCAGAAAGCTGGAACTCCATCTGGGTCTCCCAGGTGAATGGCAGCAGTCTGAGTGGTTGGGCCACCACCTGCTTTCCCAGATGCACTAGCAAGGAGCTGGATCAGAAATGAAGCAAAATCGTGGCATGGCAGCATCGCAGTCAGTGGCTTAAAAATTATATATATAGGGCCCAGTGCCATGGCCTAGTGGCTAAAGTCCTCGCCTTGAATGTGCCAGGATCCCATATGGGCACCGGTTCTAATCCTGGTAGCTCGACTTCCCTTCCAGCTCCCTGCTTGTGGTCTGGGAAAGCAGTCAAGGACGGCCCAAAGCCTTGGGACCCTGCACCCATGTGGGAGACCCAGAAGAAGATCTGGGCTCCTGGCTTTGGATTGGCACAGCACCGGCAGTTACAGTCGCTTGGGAAACGAATCATCAGACGGAGATCTTCCCCTCTGTGTCTCCTCCTCTCTGTATATCAGCCTATAATAAAAATAAATATATAATTTTTAAATTTTTTCATGAGTTCTATAGGCTCGAGGATTTCTCCCATCATGACTTTAAAAATCAGCTGAGCGCCTTTCTACTTTTTTCATGATCTACAGCAGTTTAGGCAATGAATGCTGGCACACATCTGATTTGGATGTGTTCGGAGGCTGGGTCATGACACCAGGGCTGTGTTTGCTTTGTAGGATTTAACTAAACTTGTGCACTTGTGATTTGTGCATTTTCCATATATGTTTAAAGGTTCAGTTTAAAAACACACAATCTTTTGGGCCCAGCACGGTAGCGTAGTGGCTAAAGTCTTCACCTTGAATGCACCAGCATCTCTTATGGGCACCAGTTCTAATCCTGGCGGCTCCGCTTTCACATCACCGACTGGTGAATCCGAACACCAGAACAGAATGTGGGTCAGGCCAGGTTCAGTCATGACACAAACCAGTGCACATTACAGAACGCCAAGGTGAAGTTACCTGTACCAGATGTGACCACAGCACCCAAACAGCACACCTGAGAACCAGGGAGGGAAGGGGCGGAGCTGGCAGAGGGAATATGGGCTCCCCTGCTGGACAGTCACTCCCACTGGAGACCGTGAGTTGGATGGGGACAGAGCAGACCAAGCAGGGCCTGGTTCAGCTCATGTGAGCTAAATCAGGGAAAAGCCAGGTTGGGCTGACTGTTCTGACTGGTGCAAACAAAAATTAGAGTGGGCAAGGGTTGGTTGGACTTTGCTGCAGCACCAGCTGGCAGAAGCTGGCACTGGAAGCTGAATCTCAAGTTAAACTGCAGAACCACCTGAAGAGTCCATCATCTGGGAGTAGGAGTGGCCCAGGAGGGAAATAGTGGGTGCCTCCCTCTTGGGTTGCCACTCCCACTGGAGAACATGGAAACCAGGATTGGGGCAGAGATGACTAGCCAGAAAGGTACCTGCCAGTTTGTGTGTGGGCTGGATAATAGGGCAGTTTGGGTTGAACTAGGTTTCAATGCCCATTGACATGTATGAAAGCTAAATGGGATGTGGAACAGACTGAACAAGTCTGCGGTACATAGTGGCATGCATGGGAACCAGGGTAGGGCAGGCCTGGTGGGGGTTATTGGGAGTCGCCCCAAATTGGCTGCAGCTCCCACTGGTTTGCATTAGGGCCGAGTATGAAGTCAGCAGGATCGGGCTGGACTGCAAAACCTATTGGTTCACATGGAAGACAGGGCTGGAAACAGAACTACCCAGCAATTGCAAAGACCAGCATGTGCGTAAGCTGACTGGGGCAACGGACTGTGCCAGACCCTGTATTGGCAAGCACACACAAGAATCAGGTCTGGCGCCTAAAGCAAAGGCAATCAAATCCAAAATAAACAAATGGGACTACATCAAACCAAAAAGCTTCTGTACAGCAAAGGAAACTAACAAAGTGAAGCAACAACCAACAGAATGGGAGAAAATTTTTGCATACTACACAAGTGATAAGGAACTAATATCCAAGATCTACAAAGAGCTTCAGAAACTCAGGGACAGCAAAAAAAAAAAAAAAAAAACCTGTAACAAAATGGGCAAAATAAATGAACAGACATTTCAACTGTTTCACATAATACAATGTTACTAACAATAAAAAAAAAAAGTTAAAAACAAATGGCTAACAGACATATGAAAAGATGCTCAGGTTCCCTAATCATCAGAGAGATACAAATGAAAACCACCTTGAGGGCCTGGTGGCATGGCCTAGCAGCTAAGGCCCTCACCTTGAACGCCCGGGATCCCATATGGGCGCTGGTTCTAATCCCGGCAGCTCTACTTCCCATCCAACTCCCTGCTTGTGGCCTGGGAAAGCAGTCGAGGACAGCCCAAAGCTTTGAGACTCTGCACCCATGTGGGAGACCTGGAAGAAGTTCCTGGATCCTGGCTTCGGATCAGCATAGCATCGGCCGTTGCGCTCACTTGGGGAGTGAATCATCGGACAGAAGATCTTCCTCTATGTCTCTCCTCCTCTCTGTATATCTGACTTTCCAATAAATAGAATAAATCTTTAAAAAAAAAAAAAAAGCTACAGCACTTTAAGGGAGACATGCTTACCAACTTCCTGACTTGATCTTCTCTGGAAGTTGCTCTTGGATCTCAATATATCACAAGGCAATCATCTTTTTAAAAAATGGACTATAGGCAGTATAGTAGGCTAATTCTCTGCCTGCAACAGTGGCATCTCATGTTGGCATCAGTTCCATTCTCAGCTGCTCCACTTCCCATCCAACTCCCTGCCTGTGGCCTGGGAAAGCAGCAGAGGATAGGGGCCCTGTACCCACATGGGAAACCAGGAGCTCCTGGCTCCCAGCTTCAGACCAGCCTAGCTCTGACTGTTGCAGCCATTTGGGGAGTGAACCAGTGGATAGAAGACTCTGTCTCTCCCTCCCTCTGTAATCTTTAAAGTAAAATCAATCTTTTAAAAAACACACTATAGCTTTAGACAGTTTGGCCAACATTTCAGGCCAGTTTTTATAGCAAGTCCCAAAGTATGCAGATGCTGTCTAAAGTAGTCATGGACAACCAATAGGCCTTAGAATAAATATTCACCAGTCAAGGGCCTGACACCGGGGTCCTAGGCAGGCTGCACTGTGACGCACCAAAACGTCAGCCTGGGAGAGGCAGACCAGGGCCTGATGCTGAGGCCCTAGGCAGGCTGCAATCACAGTGCACCA